CTGACCAATAATGCGGGGGATTCGGAGGCAGGATTTTGCAGAATTGGTCAAATTTGGTCGCATATATGTTATTAATACTTTCAACGCTGGGATCAACTTTTCCTAAGCATCGCAATGGCTGAAGGGGGTTTTGCGAGATGCCTTGGCGTTGTATGGGACAAAGTCATCGTTTCTATATACATCGTAATGATCTCTATAGTCATCAGTGATATTGACCGTCATCATATTGACCGTAATCTTCGTAATCATATTGACCATTACGGTCATTTTGCCCGCGTCCGTTTCCATCGTATAATATGCCGCCGCCGATGTACCCTGCTTCAGGAGCAGCGAAGTCGTCCGATTTGGATGAGCCGCGGAAGAAAAACAGATAGACGGCGCCTGCAATAATAATAATAATAATGATTAGTAATACAAAGACCAACCAACCTTTGCCATTCCCATTGTCCTCGTCCTCGTCCTCGTCCTCGTCCTCATCCTCGTCCTCGTCCTCGTCCTCGTCCTCGTCCTCATCCTCATCCTCGTCCTCGTCCTCATCCTCGTCCTCATCCTCGTCCTCTTCTTCCTCTTCCTCTTCCTCTTCCTCTTTCCTTTCCTTGTCCTTGTCCTTGTCCTTGTCCTTGTCCTTGTCTTTATCCTTGTCCTTATCTTTACCCTTACGCCTCCCCTCCTTCTTCAGCTCGACTGTGTCGATGCCTTCCGGGCCGACGTACTAGAGTACTATATCGCCGTCTTCATCGCGGTCGGTCCCTCCCACCCTCCTTCCTTCTCTCTCCTTCTCCCCTTCCCTCCCTTCCTCCCTCGTCGAGTCGTGCAAGACCAAAGCCGACTCCTACACGGCTGCTGCTTCTTCGGCGCTTTCCCCCGCGGGTAATTGGATGCCTCTTTCAAACCCGTCTTCCCCCACGGGCATGGCCATTTAAATCTTAATACCGGCTACTAATTACAAATTGATTACCTCTATTTCACTTTTATTTTTCTCCGAATGTTAACCCTTGATGATGTTCTTCAACGTACTGTATAGGTCTTCGTGCGTCACTTCTCCCCACAAAATACCAAGACCTGAAATGATGATTACCAGAGCAATTGCACTCAAATTTTTTTATTTTACCATATTAATTATCTTTATAGTAAACACCATGTACATTGGCTCGGTACCGAACTTACGTATTGTATGTGTAGATCAATTTGTGTTTATGTGTGTGTGTTTGTATCTATTGTACGCGTCTATCAGTCTATCTGTGTTCAAGACCATTTGTGACCATGAGGTTATGGAGATAGGAGCAAGGGGGTGATATTGTATGGAGGGGACGTGGAAGGGTCTCTCTCTCTCTCTCTCTCTCTCTCTCTCTCTCTCTCTCTCTCTCTCTCTCTCTCTCTCTCTCTCTTCTCTCTCTCTCTCTCTCTCTCTCTCTTCTCTCGCTCTCTGAGGAACAAGGGTTACTTTCCCGCGTCTCCACTGCTAGGGAACCGCGACCAGCGCTCGAAACATACAGGACTCTTGACCAGGGTTCACGGCCCTGACCAGGCCTCCTTGGGGGTCTCTCCCCACGCGCCCCCCCGCTCGGCGCGCCTCGAGGGCTACCCTTTGCCCACAACTGCACCCGCACGAGACAGCCCGCGCCACGCTGCCTACCAGCCTCCTCCTATCGATAAAGAAGCAAACCAGAACTGTCTCCATACACCCACCAAATCAGGGCAAAACACAAAGCCCTGACACTCTCTCTCTCTCTCAGAGAAGAGAGGATAGAGAGAAGAAACGTAGAATCAGAAGAGGAAATCCTAAATCGCGCGCCCTTTCTCTCTCTTTCTCTCTCTCACTCTCTCTCTCTTACTCGTGTGTGTGCGTTTTGTATGTATTAAGTGTGTGTGTATTATATGTTAGCATTTATGGGTGTGTGCGTGTGTGATGTGTCCATGTGTGTGTGTCGGTTTGTGGACTCCGAGAGACAACCTTTGGATGTGAATTAGAACAACCAGTGACATCGTAATGATGATAGTCATTCATATGAATCATTTCTGTCTGTCTGGCTCTGCTTGTATGTCCTGTGTATCTCTCTCTGTCTGTCTCTCTCTCTCTCTCTCTCTCTCTCTCTCTCTCTCTATCTCTATCTAATCTGACTGTCTATCTGTCTATCTATCTCTATCTCCCCCCCATTGATCGTAATCTTCGTAATCATATGGACCGTAGTCTGCGCAGTCATAGTTATCCAAAGCATCGCAGAGATCAAGTGGTCGAATGGGTTTTAGTATCTGCTGTGGTCGCAGCGGAACCACAGCCTTCTGCGTTTTGACCGAACCGGAATCTTCGTGGCCTCCCTCGGTTCGCTCGCGTCCGTGTCCATCGTGAACCTGCAGTATCTCGTCGGCGGCTTCTCCGATTGCAGAAGGAGCGCCGCCGGTGTGCTCTGCTTCGGCGACTGCAGGAGGAGCACGCCGGTGTGCTCTGCTTCGGCGACTGCAGAAGGAGCGCCGCCGGTGTGCTCTGCTTCGGCGACTG